GTATAGAATCACTCGCCAACCCGCTCGGCAAGCGTGGCGTTTTAAATATGCTAAAACCTCCCAAGTTGAAGATGTCGAGTATCAATACGAAATTACCCCAGGTGAGTAGAGTTATATCTTACACTTACATAAGTATAATACTGTGCCAACTCAAAACTCAAAAAATTAGTACTGTTTGATAAGCCTTATGTGTTGTTCACTAAAAGCATTCCTACGAATCCTACACTCTGGATTAACAAGAGAACTAGAAATAGAAGAAACTTTAGTAATCGTCTGTACATACACATGTACAGGGTTCCAAGCGTTTAAGCATTGCCTCACTTAGAGTCTAGGCTTCCACTCTAATTGGCTGTTAGTTAACGAAAACATATGTATTTAGTACTTCGTGTTTACTGACTATCATGTAGGGGAGACCGGGGATAGTTGTTACATGGTACAATTGTAGCAGTACCCATGTTCGTTGTTGAGATGATTCAAATTTGGCGTCGCTTTGAGGTTGACGCAGTTGACATAAGACACTGTTCGTTCCGCGATTGTTCTACTATTCAATTTAAAAGTTAGAAAGGACAAAATTAAATGCTTTCTTGTAGAATTACTGTTTTCCGACAAAATTAAGAACGGGGACATTTGTAACACCCTCATAGGAGACGATTATAACATGTTACAATTTTACCCATGCAAAATGATACATAAATTTAATTTGCTTAAATTTATCTAGTAGTTTGCAGAAATATATCTCTTTCCAGAATAAGAAAAAACGGAGAAAACTCCTTCGAAAAGTTTATTATAACAGGCAACTTAATCTAGATTTTAGACCAAAATATTTTCGAAAGAGAAGTGATGAGGTAATTTAAAACTTCTCATGCAACTCTGCACAGATACAGTAAAAAAATGAAAAGCGGAGTTAAGAATCCTATCGTTGGTTACAATTCACTTAACAAAGTATTATCAGTGGAAGATGAATTAATATTGTGCGAATATATACGAAATTCGGCGGACCTTTATTATGGGCTTACCCCAATTAACATTCGTTCTTTGTTCTATGAATTTTGCATAAAGAAAAACTTAAGGTTCCAGAACAGTGGCACGTTACGCAAATGTTTTATGAAGAGAAACTCTACCCTACCATAAAGAGTGCCGGAAGTGAGAAGTCACGCAAGTGCTGTAAATTTTAACAGGATAAATGTTTATACATTTTTTGACAATTTGACCAAAGCGATAGGGAGGGACATATTTGAGCCTACGAATATATACAGTTAGGATGAGACAGGGGTTACAACTATGCAAAAGCCGAGCAAAATTGTGTCAACAAAGGGGATAGAAGAAGTAGGAACCTCTGCGGAAAGAGGTACATTAGTAACTTTTTGCCTGACTGTAGGCGCAATGGTAAATACAGTTCCACCAATGTTCTGCTTATTTCCAAGGAAGCAGTTCAAACCATACTTCAAATCTGATCTGAATAATTTTATGGATGCTTGGATCTTGCAGGATAGGATTAGGAAACCCTAATTAAGGCTTTTTGTCAAAGATCACTTTTTTAAATTTAAAGACTAAATCTTATATAATTTTACTCATGGATGTTTTACTTGCAGAAACTTCTACTTGCAGAAGTTCTACTTGTAATTCTCAACAGAAAGTTGGTTCACTTACTACCCTGGTCATTATATATATATATATATATATATATTATATATATATATATATATATATATATATATATATTATATATATATGTATTTTAAATTGCCATTTTATTGCCCTCAGGTAAATCACTAGTTTTCATTTTTAAACGAGGTCTGCTTTTTCCCGGAGAAGATCAAACATGATTTTTCTTTTCTTTTTCATATATTATAATATACCCTCTAACACAAAGTTAAAATATTAATATTATTTGTAAGTAAAATTAAAAAAAAAAACAAAAATAAAAAATTCCTACTTATAAATATTTTGTTAGGTAATAAAGTTGGCAAATAAATAATATTAAAAATATATATTGTCGTCATTAAAGCATTATAATAGTGTATATTTGAAAATTGTACTTGTTGTACCGCTTGAACAGATGATAATGATTCCAACGCTCCCCCATTCCATTTTTCTTATTCAAAGTAGGTACTCAATTAAATTTAAAAATAGTTCTTGTTGTTATAGTGTAAAAGTTTTTCCAGTCATGATCTAAAACAATTCAATAAAATATTTTCTTTATGTAATTTTTTCCACTTTTGCGGAAACTTAAACAAAATCATTACTTCACTATGTGAAAAAGGTTAACTTTGTAAATTAATGCAAAATAAAATACACTTATTATAAATTTCAAACTAAAATATATAATTAGTTGTGAAAACAATTGAGTAGCATCATTCCAAAGTGAGTCTTAGATTAAGTTGGCACTGAATATCACTGTACCATTGATTTTGACATACTATTATAACAAAATACTGTTTCAAATCGCTTCTTGTTCTATATAAAACAAGTCTAAATATTGCGCATCTTTTCAAAATGCGCGTTATCCACGAGCAGTGTCATCTCAAAGCGAGCCTTATCCTTTCAGCCAATGGCTGCCTCCGATTTTAAGCCACGTGATCGTTTTGACGTTTTAACTTGCGTGATTAGTTAAGGTTATTTTACTGTTTATTATTAAAAGAGTGTAACTCTTTATTTTCAATTAGTGAAGTAAAACCGAATTATTGTTTTTACTGACAAAGTACGTTTAATATTTTAAACTGTTATAAAAGAAGCACCTAAAGAAATACTAAAAGGTTGCGACAGAAAGACGGTTTCTAATCCAAAACTGTGTACAAAAACGTTTAAAAAAATAACAGGTAAAGATGTTTTATTAGTTTACTGTCAAATCTGTGCTAAAAATAACTAATAATTCGATAAAACTGATTATTCAACTATTATTTTTTCTGTATTGCTTATATCAATCTTTTTTTTTCAGATATGCGGCAAAGCAGCCTCCTATTTATCCAACATGTGGCCTTCCGGTAAAACTTTTCGATGTAAATCACTTAAAATGACTGATCTAAAATCATTTCATGCCGCTTTTTATTCTTCAACAAACAAACAAATTCAAGATGCTTTTCTCCTAAAATATATTGAAATAAAAAAACCGAAACGTGACAGAGCCACGAAACTGAATTCTTCAAGAAAAAAATGCATAATTACTTTGTCAAAGTTCATAATACAGAGAAGTTTCAGATCCAAGTATGTCAAAAAGCATTTTTAAATATTTTACATGTAACGAAAATCAGAAGAATTCAAAGATTAGCAAATCGTTACGTTAAAATCGGTAAAATGCCTATCGAAAGAAGGGGCGGTGCTATAAATATTTCAAAAATGGTAGGTACTGTATGACTTGCCAAAGGGAGTTCAAGTTAAAAATGACAAAATTAAAGATATTGATATTTTATCAAAAAGTCACTTTGGTTCGGAAATGAAGAACAATCCTGAGTGTTCGTTTTTTAAAAACTTTATGGAAGAAGTTAATGTTGTTCCAAATAATATCACTGAGCTAACAGTCTAACACGAGGAAGAAATAGAGAGAGATTATTGCGAAAGTTATTTTCCAGATCCTGCTGAATTAAGAGTTTATTAACTAAAAAATGTGTTTAGTGTTTTTGTTTTTTAGCTTATGTGACCATAACAATATTGTTATTTTAGCCAAAATCTGTTTTAGGTATAAGATTATTGTTTTGAATAAAAATATTCGTTCACACTACTTCCTTTGTCTACATTATTGTTATTCCAAAAAGCGTGTTATCCACTGCGTTGTTCCAAAGTGCGTCTTATCCAAATTATATTTAGTTTTTTTGAGCTTATGTCGCAAAAACGAAAAACCTTAACGTATACTAATGTTATGTATTATTAATGAACACTAGAATGTTTCATGCAAAAAGAACCATCTGATAATCAAAAAATGTTTTTTTCTAATTCTTCAACATTTTTCTCGAAGGAATAAGATTCACTTTGGAAAGACCACTCAATTGTTTGTGTAATATAAATACCTTCTAAATGCTAAAACATAACAAAAAAAAAACAGCTTAATACCCAAAAAATTTAGAGCCACAAGTAAACTAATCAGAAACGTCACAAATTATATTTAAAATCTGAAAACGTCCCGAAGCGTCTTTTTTGTACCTGTCTCTTTTCGATATTGAGTTTAGAGGATTCATAAACACAACATTTATCTTTTATTTAATTTAACAGGCTGTGGATGGTTTGTCTTTAGGTTCATGCGTGGAAGACAAGGATGCTAGATGAAAAGTATGTGTTTTATCTCGCTAAGTATTTAAGTATAAGTGACACCAGTGGCGCACCCAAAGGGGGTTTTGGGGGTTACCCCTCCCCCCCCAAGACCCTATTTTGACACTGTTATTGACAAATTTTAAGTACTTAAAATAGTGCAGGTATCATAAAAAAATTCGGTGCCCAACCAAATCCACCCCCCAGAGGAAAGTTCTAGGTGCGCTACTGAATGACACACGGGTAAAGAACCATGGACTCAACTGTATAGAACCATTATCCAGAATAAAAAAAATAAAGATATCAGGAATATGTCATTGAAAAGTTATCTAAAAAGTGTAGTCCTAGCCGATAAATCAAAACGCAGATAATTTAATCATTAAATCATCACCAACAAAATTTGTCATTGTATAGAAATATCATAATCAAATAGAAGAGATTTCTATAGTCCCAGAATAATTTCCTACCTACCTACAATACCTTTACCTGTACAATACCTTTTTGTACCTATATAGTAGGTAGGTATATACAGAATAATTTTTCCCAAATGCTTATGCTTACACAAATAATAGTAGCGTATTTAATTTTGATGATATAGACACTTTAAAGTAATTTTATCATTTCTTGTAATTTTTTAAATCTCTATAAAAACAACATTCATTAATAAAATCCATTATTTTTTTTTCCTGAAAAATATCAAATTTACGTCCGTACAAGAAGTTTGGCAACGTTCGTTGTTATGACTGTCAGTTGTCCAAGCAGTAGTTAGGGTAGAGAGTGAGTTTCACAATACTTCATCGATTTGTGTAATTTTTGTAGGCGTAATAGCGAAAATAAGATTCAACGACCGATTATACTTGTAGTTTAAAGTGTTGATAATAATTACAACGTAGTATTTTAAGTGTCTATCGCATTTACATTCGATTTTTTCGTTGGTGAAGTGTGCAGTCACGCCCTATTGAACTATATAGTATTTCCAGTGTTGCAAATATTCACGTGAGTGCCAAATAATTTAGTAAGTAATAATATTTTAAAATGGCCTATCAACATCACAATGGACCACCTCCTCAACCGTATGCTCCCCCTTATGAGCCTCAAGCACCACCTCAATATGGGGCACCACCTTACGGCGGTGGTCAACCTTACCCTCCGCAACAGCAGCAACCTTACGGTATGCAGCCACCCTACGGTGGTCAACCTCAACCACCTTATGGACAACCACAACCTCCTTATGGTGGACAACAACCACCCTACGGAGCACAGGTACATTATGGACCAGGGCCGGGACCATATCAACAACCTCCTCCACAACCATATTATCCTCCAACACAACAACAGAATAACGAGGATGATTGTTGCAAATGGTGCTGTGGCTTAACATGCCTGTCACTTCTATGTTGTTGTTTGATGAATCATGATTAACTCTTAGTCACCTTCCTTATTGTTGTATTGTATTAGATCAGTTGTAAATGAAGACTGTTTTTGGAGGGTTTTAATATCTGCAAGTATATAAATTATGATTAATTACTTGGAATGTCCACTTGCTAAGTTTTTAATTATTTTGGATAATTTTCAAGTTACCAGTCTTTTTAATTTAAGCTAATCATGTAAGTGCACTCATCTTCGAGATTATTTTAGAATCTTAAAAGCTGACTATTTTTTTCTCTAACAATAAGTGAGCACCTTTTTAAATATAATTTAAATAAAAAGTATGAATTTAAATGTTTATAAAAACTATAATATTTACTAAACAATTGATTTTATACACATTTCAATGCAATCACAATCATCATCATCTTGGTGCTACAGCCCTTAGAGGGCCTTGACCTTCTCAAGCTTTCTACGCCATTCTGTTCTGTCCCTTGCTTGCATTTTTCAGTTGCCAATGCAATAACAATATTTGATTGAAATTATTACCTAACTGTGATGGCAACCCATCCTATTTTGTGGAGTTATAAAGTTTTTCCCAAAGTAATAAAAGATTTTTTTACAATCAACATAATTCCACACAATGCCTTGAGATGAAACAAATGTGATATGACACAACCAAGGATTTTTTAGTGATCCAATTCTTAGTTTAAGGAATATGAGTGCACTTAAGTATACCTTATACAAAATTTACTGTTTTAAGGTAAATGTACTAGTAGTTGACATTATAAGAAGAAAAAAAAACATTATTTAGCCTCAAACCGATGTAGATGAAATTAAATAAAAAATATATGTATATTCAGGTAATCTAATCCTTCCTGAATATTTAACAAATAAATTTTTGGACAATTCTGCTTTCTAAATATTTTTTATAAAATTTACAAAAATTGTTGCAAAAGTGTCAGTAGTTGACACAACAAAATGAAAAAAAATTAGTAGTTGACACATCCAAGGTTTAGTAATTGACACCCAAATATATTTTGATAATTTTATTAAGAATATGTAATTACAGGAGAACTTTAATGTTAGATGTTTCCACATCCACTGAATCTGGAAACTGATACTTTATTCTTTCTCATGAAATGAGTATCTGAGGTTGGGGCATCCTTTTGCAGGTTTTTGAGGATTTGAAAATGTTATTACGCTCACATCTTTATCATTAATTCGAAAAGAAGTTTTACTGTCATTTTACTGCTACCAGATTCAACCTATGATTCATTATTATCACTTGATGATTCTTCCTTTTTCTTACTTACTTTTTTTTCGTCGCTTTCAGTTTCTGTTTTTTAACAAAGTTTTTTTCTTCTCTTTTCTTTTGTCTCTCTTCTGCTCTTTTCTGTTTTTCTTCAAGAAGCTTGATCTTCTTATTTTCTTTATTTTCATGATAAGTTTGCCATTCTTTTGAACTAGCCACAGAAGGAACTTTTTCCACTCTTCTTTTTTTTACTGCGGATACTCTGGGTTCAGGCCAAAACAGTATTCATTTAAAAGGAGAGGGTATAATTTCATTTGATGTAGAAGGTGTAGGTAATTCTTCAATTGCTGAAGATGGAACTTGTGATTGTGTTAATGAAGAAGCACAAGTGTCTTGAATAATAGCAATATTGTTATGTTGAAGATTTTTCCTAGTGGGACTAGTGTGACTTTCCAAAACATCCGAAATGTTTCTACCTGGTTCAGCCTCAGATTGGTTTAATAACTCACCTATTTCATACTGTTCTTCGACTGGCTTATCAGGTTTGTTCTCTACGTAAATGTCTTCAACATTAGGGCTGTCTTCAACATTTGGTATGTCCTCAATATAAGTGGCATCTTCAATAATATTGTCTTCATCATCTGGTTCTTTGCACCTTGTTTCGCTTTCAAATTGTTTATTTCTTCTTCTAAAAGACTGTATTTTATGCAAATGTTTTTGTAAAAGTAAAAGAGAAATAAATCTTCATTGTCATTGTTCCATTCTAGGCTTGTTTTGAAAAGAGCTAGTTTTTGTTTATCAATATGTTTCTCTATAAAGTTTTTCCCTTGTTTCATTTCCTGCAATTCCTGCATTTTCTTTGAAATGTCTATTTTCTCATTGTGAAACATAATCGCACCAACATCCTAGGGAACTAAGCCACATTTTCGGAAACCATTTTTTAAAATTGATGGTACTTAACCTTTCCTCTAGAACTTTTTTCAAAAGAGGACAGAAGTGAATTTTCCTTAAAACTGGAGAAGCCTGATTCTCAATCCGCCACTGGTGTACTGCATCTTTCCAACCCCCTTTCAAAGAACGAAATACAGCAACATCCATTGGCTGAAGCAAATGTGTTGCATTTGGATGAAGGGCTACCAATATAATACCATGTTCACTGCAAAATCTACTAGTGTGTAATGTTAAATGTTGCTGAAACTGGCTTTCTACATAGAACTTCCTCAATAGCTTTCTCCATAGCTTCTTCTGTATATTGGAACATTTGTCCTTTTATAGGAGGCATATTTTTAACTGAAATTTAAAATTTTTGTTTTAGTAGTTGACATCCAAAGTGTTTCAATAGTTGACATAGTGTCAACTACTAGATAGAGTGGATACATTTACGTGATATTTAAAATATAAGTGTACACATTATATACAATGAAAATAACAATAAAATATTAAGTTTTTACAGTCTCAGTATAAATGGTTAGTAGTTGACACCTATGTCAACTACTAGTATTTTTGTGTATTTGTGAGTTAGTAATTGACACCTAGCCTAATTTTTGTTTTGAGAATAAAACAAACTTAAAACATTAGCAAGATGTTACCTTAATATTCATATAATATATTGATATATCTAAAACTACAGTCATTCACAATTTAATCAATAAATATTAATTTTTTTAAACTTACCTTCTTAATACTTTTGTTTAGAAAACTTGTTGCCACTTGAAGCTCACACAACACTTTGACAAAAATTTGGTGGGAATTTTCTGTTTCAAAGTTAAATAATTCTACAGTTACAGAGAAGATGTATAAATGACACTACTTAACTATGATGGTAATAATTACATTAAAAATAATTGGAAAAGCTTATTATTTATGCTTAAAATGGAAAATGTCAACTACTGGTACAGTGTCAAGACTAGTGCATTTACCTTAATTATTTTAGAATAAACTATATATTTATTCCTTGATTTTTTTGAGAAGAAACATTGAATTTTTTATCTGTTTTCCTATTTCAAATACAATTTAAAAACCAGATATGTTTTTAGCTTTATTTATTAAAGCTCTCAGGTGATAACTTATCAAAAATAGCATGACACAGTAAGATGAAAGTCCAACTTCTATTACATTGAATAAATATATTGGTTTGAGTTGATAATAGTATTCTAATTTATATGGAAGGTTTTAAAAATATCTCTGTAACACACCTATTATTGTAACTACAGATATCTCCAACATAGACTTAACATTCTGAAATTATTGACATAATTGATTAGATTCTCAATCAGCCTTAAAAATGCTTTTCACTTCAATTAGTTTTACTACCTACAACAATCTTGCTTCCAATACTATTGTTGTCCTTTATATTAAATCAGTAGCTTATCAAAAGAGAGAACGCTTGAAGAAGTCCAGTGTATTTTTCAGGTTTCCACTCTGAACACCAAAATATTTTATGTATCCATATAATAGATTTTAGACTAGATAATAAATATGTATTAATACTTAAATATTCATATACTTCAATTTTTTTGACTCATAAATACAGTAAGTACTTAACATTTTATGAATACAAAAATACAGATTAGGTCATGTAACTCGAACTGGTCTAGTTATTATGCTATAGTGAAATTCTACCAGAAACCAAATTTATATAAATTTGCTTTTCTATGGGAATTTAATTATAACAAACTAAGAGCCACAATGTAGACCTCTCAGCCTGAGTGGAAGAGTGTCAAGTGCCCACTCATATTGAACATAACCTATAAAAAACTAAGTTAAATATTTGAAGTAGTTCTTATTGGAATTATTCGGCAGCTTCTGAAAACTTCTTACAATAATTTCTTATAACATTGGAATGTCTCTTCAATGTATTTAATAGTTATTAACATATTCCGAGAAGTAAATACTGTATAACTGAACCAGTTTTGTCAAAGTTCAGCATTATCTCGATCATCCATAATGTTTGATATGCTTCTCCTGATCTTGAAATATGTGGCATATGCATTTTTGGACACTTCTGATGGTGGTGATGTTTCCACATCAGAAGAACACTCTGTTACATCGTTAGATAATCCATCAGACTGACCAACTAGTTTCATTTAAGTCTACAAATTTTTTAATCCATTTAATTTATAGTTGAACCATTATACTGTGTTTTACTATAAACATACTAAGAGCATTGAATATATACAATTCTTATTGTTTTCAGACTGTTATGTACAATTTTGTGATCTTCAATTTATTTCAGGAATCAAACCCTTTGTGATCACACATATTTTATGATAACTGTGTAAAGAATTAATGTTTTATTAAGACAATTTGTTTTGTGGAATTTCCAATTGGTTTGTTAGCATATACATAAGTACATAGTTTGTTTTAAAATAATGTGTGTAATCTCATACAGCGAAAGTAAGAATCCATTGGTACTTAGATAATACATATAGTTAAACAATAAGTATTGTATTATCATCTTAACAGTATTATTTCTCATATTTGGTTTTTAAAAACTTGTTTGTATTGTGTTTGTTTGAATCTTCAGTTGGTTTTTAGTTTTATGAGATTGTTTTTTAAACTGTTTAGAACTTAAGAGTAACAGACTTTTTTGCCTAATGAAAAAACGTGAATACTTACAGAAAGATATATTTTTTCAATATTGTATTACCTATTTCATAAATTATAAGAAAAAAATATTGTTATCTTATCTTATGTACAGTATTTAGCATTTAACTTTAGCTTGTGCATTATATTTATAAATATTAAATGTTATACATATATAACTTTACTTTATTTTTTCTTATATATATATATATATATATATATATATATATATATATATATATTATATATATATACATATTTCCTGATATGATTATGTAATGTAATTAAGTATTTTCTCTTTATTAATTAATAATTTTAACGTTCATCATTTTTGATTAATTTTGCATCTCATATTAAAAATCTTAATTGAAATAACAGAATAATGATAGTATATTAGCTGGTTACCACTACTGTCAAAATATTTTATTGTCATCTTTGAAATGAGGCAAAAATCACATTAATTTTTAAAGCATTTAATTAGTTAATATAATATAATATATACTTTAATAGCAGATTTGACTATCTTCTTGATAAAGTGTTACTATTATTATTGATGTTTGAATGTTGGAAACCAATAGCATGATTTTATCCATAACATTTTAAAAGACCAAAATTCTGCTTTGTCAGAATTTGTCAGTATATGGCAGACATTTCATAACCAGAAATGTAATATCTTGGCGTTTAGTGCTATCTATGTTGCTTCTTGGATATTTTGCTTTTAAAACATTTTGTACATGTGATTTCCAAAATGTTCAGTTTTCCAAGACCTTGATTAGGTAAAACACTATTTACACCATCTATCCATTCTATGGCTCTACAACCCAATTAGAGCTAAGCCTAGTATTCTCCTCTATGATCATATGCCAAGGAGATTTCTTCTGTTTACTT